TAGAAAAATGTGGTCCAGCATGACACTGAAATAAAGACTTAAAAATAAAACTCAGGTGACCTACTCTGTAAGTGTAGTAATTACATTTATAGTAAATTCTAAACATGGTAAGATTGAAGTAAAAAAATTGCTAGCTAAATGTTGACACTAAATTCTTTAGAGAACAAGTTGAGTACTTAAATAAATATAAAAGTATTCACATACATTTTCCATCTGAAAAATATTTTACAATTTTAGTCACAGTTCAAACGTATCTTCTATCCCTGTCACCATATATGAAGTATTAGAAAACAGTCATCAGTGCTCATTCAGAAATTCTTTTTATTCAGATGCCAAGTAACTTGAAACATAAAGTGGTCTGATATATTTTATAGTAAGTACTACAATGAGAAGACGGCCCCGAGGTACTACAAAACAGACCTGTTCCTTCTGAATCATCAGAGCATGATTACACTCACCTCAGCAGCATTTCAGTGTTAAGGACATTTTTAATGAAAACTAAATCTCTGAAAATTTGACAGAGATGTAATATCTCAATAGCAACACTTAACCAATCAAAACACTGAAATAGCAACACCAGCTACAGAGGGGGGAACCCCTACAGTTTAAACAAGGGTGCTCCTGGTTCTTGAGGCAGTTGGCAAACTGAATTGAACTAGCAAAGAGCTTCCAAAATGAATTTGCAAAGTGTTAGTTTATGATAATCTGTATGCCAGTCCTCAAGATATGGTACAAGAAAAAAAAAAGTTGATTTAAATAATTCTAAAACAGAGTGAGGCCTAGTTCTCACTCTTCTATGGAGTTCTAACACTTTAAAATACAACGTGTAACCAGTTCTATTTTCTTAAGCACACACATGAAAAAAGGCATGTCACTTGGTATCTACTGTGGATGGGGTTCTTGCGGGTGTTGTGGTTCTGCTCATGTAGCCGAAGAGCTCCCAGAAAGAGGTGTAGGACTCCCAACATGTATTCAATTAAGAGAGAAAGAGGGACTTTTGTCCCCCCACAAAAAGAAAAGATTCTGGCTTGAGGCTGACTTTTGGAAATTTTGTATTTTTAAAAACCCACTTTAGTTTTAGGCAGTTAGAAAACTGTTACCCATCCTATCTTCATCACAATTGTAGGATAAAGACTTTTGGATAACTATAGCCTCACAACCAAATCCCACTTTATTATTCCTTCCTTTTGGACTACAAAACATCGCTCTAAAGTTAAATTTAAATCTGTTCACATTCAGGGTTACTTACTTTAAAGTAACATTCTTGTTTAGTGTAAAACTCTCATTTCCATAATGTGAAAACCCAGAAAATACATTTCTAAAGTAATGTTTCCAGGTAAGGAGAGAAAACTGAGTGGTAAGATGAAACAATATTGTTAATTATGGTCCACACTCTGACACTCAACTGTTCAGGTAAGACAGTATCGATTACTAGTAAACTCTGGTCACAAGCTTTTTCCTAGGCTAGACAGGAAGGCAAGGAAACCATACTCCTTACCGTTTCCCTGACAGCAAGCATTTTACTTTTTGAAGTGAAGTCTAGGCATTTGAAACACTATATATAAAGAAACCATTTAAAAGGTAATTCTTCCAAAAAGGTTACATTTGCTTCCTATTTAAACTTTTAGTTAAAGTAAAAGGTGGTAGGTTGTAACATTTTAACAATGCACACAAAGCAATCCAGGCGCAAAATTAAACATAAAAGATGCATTGTCCTTTTTGATTCTTAACACACACACAGCCCCCAGATAGCAAACTCCTGGTTACTTTTTTAAAGTAAGTAGATTAAAAACAAGATTAACAAAATGTCCAAAGCATGTCAAATTATAGCCTCTACTAGTTAAAAATTCTGTTGGTTGTAAAACTCTGTTGGTGGCCATTTTGGCCTAGGATTTTTAATATAAATGAAACTAGAAATGACAGGGAATGGGGGAAGGGGTTTTCCTTCTTGAATAAAGAGGGAAATTTTTATCTAGAATGAGTTATCTGAAACATGAAAAAGAATATTCAAAGTCAGGCTTTACCAAAACCTGAAAATATAACAGAAAGTAAAATACAAGAACAATGCTATAGTATTGAAGATTTAAAAAACGTTATAAACATTTCTGAAGGAGGTAAATACATAAACTAATTGGGGAAATTATTTAATTGCTAAATAATATCATAGATTTTTCTTTTTCCTATGCAGAGCTCCAAAGTGATCATCTAAAGTCATTAAATTACATGACAATTTTATAGCCATAGCCAAATTAGTTGTTATAATATGCATGCACACACACTCACACACACATCTATCTATCTATGTAGTATCTTTTTATTAGAGTTTTACTGGCATGTACCTTTAGAATGATGGTCTTAGTTTTTTGTTTTTTTTTTTTAATGTAGTGAAGTCCAGTCAAGTTTGGCTAAAAAGCTGTTCTATTCAGATACAAGTTGTTAAGGAAACTTTATTTCATCTCATTTAATTGCTGAAAATAGTGAACATTTTCTCTTCTTTAACTTTTGTCTTACTTTTAGAATGTGTTTTAAGAAATTTATGATTTGGAACATTTTGCAAGTCCACTTACACCATTCAGCTTCACCACCACTGTTGTGTATTTGAGAAATAACACTCTATTTAACCTATAAACTGTGTTTTTTTTTTTTAAAGAAAGAGAGCAATTCCCAAATAGACCTTAAATTACAGTTGTTAAACTTGAGGCTGTGTAAATGTCCTTCTAGTCTTACTGATAAAAACCAGATAAAAGTAACTGAAAAGTTCTCATTTTCAAACTGGATATACTAATCAATTTATTCCCCCCAAAGCACAGTTCATTTTGGGTAAGAAATGGACATTTTGGGTTAGAAAAACAAATGGATCAATGATTCAATGCGGAAATTTCCAGAGTTTTAGGAAGAGTGGTTTAAAGGAATGTACAGTGGCAATTCTAACCTAGGCTTCATTACTTGGTCATTGCTGAGTGATGCCACATTCACATGTGAGGGCTACTATAAGTCAATAGATGGCAGTCCATCGCCTAGTAAAAGAGCTGAAGATGACTAAACTCACCATGCATCCTGCTTTTATTCAAGATTAAATACTGCTTAATTACACACATTTGGATTTGCCTATCTACATAATTATTTAACTTTTATTCTAGATGAAAATTGATACTGATATATACATGTTTATAAGTGTACTAGCTTAGCATGTATATTTGCATAGTAAACTAATTCTAAATTACCAATTACTAACTTCGACTTGATAATTATAAATTGTGATAGTTACCTTCAATATTATTTTGAAAACTAATCAGAATTCCAGATTGAGAAAAATGGATTTTTCAAAATAATTTTGTTATACCTATAAATAGAATATATTGTAACTCTCTAAAAGAGAAATTCATTTTGTTTTCATTTATTTTTTCCCAACTATTCTCTTTACAATTTATGTTTTTCAAAAGCTACACTATTAAACAAACCTTCAAATATTTGTTATACTAAATACCAATTTCTATTCTTCTATGACAGCTATATTAAAGAATATAGGTGCAAGTAATGAAAACAGTGGCTTTAAAATAGTACTTCCCACATGTCAAGTTTTCAAGACTGGAATTCTCTAACTTAGGGGAAAAGGGAAAAGAAACAGTGTCAAATCCATTAGGCTGTAATTTAATAAAAATACTGATTAAAAAAACTGTTATATAATTACAAAAAGTGACTATCATTTTGAAAAATATATGATTGGATTTCAATCAAGTTTAGGCTATAAGGATTTCACCATAGTATGTTAGGATAAAAAAATTGCTATATAAGTATAAATACAATGTATCCATAAGAGTTACACCTAGAACATATATGTGTAACATATATAGGGGGATACGTGTGTGTGCACGCGCGTGTGTATTTTGGTATAACACTAAATATTTTCACAAAACCCAATTTGGGACTGAAGGACAGTTGAGGAATTACAGCTTTCTACTGAGAATCTTTAAATAAACTGAATAGTGATAACAATATGAAAACAAACCATCGGGCATTGTTCATTGCTTCTTGGGCCTGTGACAATCTTATTGGTAGTCTGAGTCACTGCTTGGTTTACTTTTTATTTCTACAAGGGGAGAGCAGTAAGAAGACATGTTTTGTAAAAACTTCGTCCTTTCTATTTTTACTAACTGTCTTCCTATAACCAAACCCTCTTAATACGTTAAACCTTAAGGAAGAGCTTTTATAATACTGTTGCAACTGCAGAACTACAAGAATACTTTTTATTATCTCATCTTGCGCAGTATAACACATTTAATATATTAAAAAATGACTACTATGGTGAATTATTGAAATTATTGAAGCTGAGTATTAAAAATAAACTGACTTCATAATATTGAGCACTAGCCAATTGATTCCATAGTAAATTATGTTTTCTACTTCTACTTAGCCTAAATTCACAATAAAAGGAAACCAGAGAATTGAATAACTTGAATGGTATTAAGCAGATGTTTATACACTTTGAATAAGTCAAGAGGAGCTTAAGGATATGACAGTTGTTCTATGCAAAAGATACACTAAGCTTTTCTTAGCTTCATTAAAAAAAATATGTGCAAAAATTTCAATAAAGCCAGAAAAATGATTATGGAAGATATGATGGACTGTATGCTTAGGGACCGTAGATAATACAACACTTTAAAGACACTGGATTACTATTATTTTTTATGGCTCCTAGCATACTTTTTCCCTTTAATTTCATGAGTGTAGTGTAGGAAGACGGAGAAATATCATGATGTAATCATTAAATGATGTGAGTAATAAAAAACAAACTCTTTTCAGAACAGGAAGATATAGAACAGAGCACTGGGCAGGGAAGAAGAGAAAAAGTATATTATTGCTTTCTCAGTGCAAAAACTCTTGGATGTTTATTATCTTCCAGTAGAAGATGCTTGTCTATATTTTATGGTCAGCAGTTCAGAGAAGGATAAATAGGCTAGGTCTTGGGGAAAATAAAAAAAAAAGGTGTTTCTACTCACCGTTAGGTGATACTGCCTCCAGATTTCTGGGCAAGCCTGGAAAATAAAAATATTGATCAGCTGGGAGCATGAAACAAGGTACTTTACAGCCTGTTGGTTTTGGCATAACCCAGCATCCACCGGTGTCGGTCACAGGAAAATAAGAAGCTTAACAGAAAGGGTCTGCATTTCAGCTTCAAAAACCTGGCTAGACAGTTTAATTGAATTTTACACTGGTTTAACACACTCCCTGCCATTGTCAGAAAGCCAGTAACAAAGTTTTCTCTCTCTTTTTTTCTTTTCAGGTTAGAAGTTTTGGGCACTAAGATGTGATTAAGAGCCATAACTCAGTTAAACTGATAAATGAACAGCAGTGGTCAAAATCAGTAAGAATCACTAAATACACCTTTTAAAAGAACATTTAGAACCTTGGTAGTATGATTGAAAAAAAAAACAATTTAATAGCAACGGCTTTAAAGAAGCCTTTGCTGTGGTTATATATTTCTGATGTCTGTTGCCATCTTTTTACCTAATCATTGGCTGCTAACCTATGAAATAGGGTAAAGAGAGAATTACACCAAAACTAAACTAAAAACAACCTCAATCTAAAGTCCATGCCTTTTCCCTTAAAAGCTGTCTCCTCCATCTGTACATTTATAGGCAAATCACTTTAAAAAACCAATAAAACCTCAATAACTTTGTAAAAGAATAGGTAACAAAACAAAAACAACCACAAGCAATAGCAGCAGCAACAACAAACACCAGTTAGGAGGCATTTTCTTATGTGCACAAATACAAATCCTCTTTCCTTATACTTAAATTATGACTCTGCTAAGGAAACACTTTTCTAACCAAGTTCTTATATTTTCTTGGTCTGCTGTCTTCTGAGAAAAAGAACAGCTGATGACAGTAAGTATTTTTTATAATTATATTACAGCAACAATTTAAATATATTAAACCACCAAGCTAAGTAAATGACAATTCTTAAAGTAAATGTGAATTTATAACTTTTGTTTTAATATGTGTATCTACATACATATGCATGTATATACACACACATATGCATGCCTAAAATTAGAATGAGTTGTCTTTCTTAAACCTTTATCATCTTTGACTTATACCTTGAACAATTCTTTACCTGATTTGTCATTCCTCTTTCGTTTATTTTTCAGGCTAGTGATAAAACTAATGAAGATAATTCATATAATCTAAAAATATTATGGGTGTGGAAATAATTCAGAAAATAATTTTTGAATGGCAAAACCTCTTCTGATTATATCATCATAAGTGATTAGACAAAAAAAGAGTAGAAAGTTCTAACCATGCTGAAAATTTTATCCATCATGTATTTTAAGTTTAACTATCCTATGTCCTTTTCTAAAGAAAGGACATACCTTTCTAAAGAAAGGTATGTAAATTAGACTATTTAGCGGTCAGCTTTCCAACTTAAAAGTCATATTCTTGCAAACTAAAGTGTCTGACTAAAAAAAGCCACTTGAACACAGTAATTTCTGGATGAACAGCACTGATCTAAAGGAAACTATTTTTAAGAAGTATAAAGTAGCTTTGGAAGGCAAAAATTATGTTAGGTACCAAATAACAGTCACAAACTTGTAGGTTACAAAGGTTCTTAATAAAACATATATATATATGTATATATTAATTTATTTAAATAAACATATTTACACTCAAAGATCTAATGTACAATATACCTTTAAATATTCATTTCCTACCTTCTATCATAAGCTTTTTGCTATGTATCTATAATTTGAGTTGGATCACGGTAGAGATAAGCAAGCAGTTATTTATACATTAGTTATGGATAGTTCTTGATTACCACAATGTCCTCAGAATAATACGGTTGAAAAATCACAATCACTGAGTTGTCATACACTGGCAGAATGCCACCCTACCATGTGACCTTTTCTTGTATTGCAGCAATTTAGTAATAAAAGAAAGAATTACTTGGGTTTTTGAACAATCATCTGATTGCTCTGTACACGAAGATGATGCCTGATATGGAAAATTAGTAGGGAGAGACATGAAACTTCTTTTCTCTTGTTAGACAATAGTATTACAATTTAAAAAAATCCCATCTTATCTCCTATAGTACTTTTAACTCAACATTCCCATGCATAGTTTCATTTTACTATTTTCTATTTAACATATGTCTATGTAAAGTTAAAATGAAGAAATATTTTTCACTTAAAAATAGGGGCCAATAGAAAGCTCATGTCTTTAATTCTAAGTATATGACATTCTAAGACTTAGGACTGTTATCACTAATGCATTTTTGAAGTGTTAATTTTTTTGCTTGTTGTGGCTTCTGCTTCTTATCATTCCTTCATCACTGCACATATTTGTCTTTTTATCCAACGGAATGCCATACTATCCATATTTATTTATCTGCTGCACAGAAAATGTAGACAAAATACAGTAATTTCTAAAGCAAGGGGCTTATTACTATTACAACGGGAACTCATGAAAAAATTTATCTGAAAGTATTTGAAACAAATGACTAGCCTGCCATGGAACTCATCTAAGATGAAAATGTAACAAATTATCAAAATACAACTGTATTTATTGGTTGTCCTGGTGATCTCACCTTCCTGGCACTTAGATGGATAGCAACCCAAAGAGCCTCCTCAAGTCTCACAACTGAAAACACACAAAGTGTACTTGTACATCTGTTTTAGCAATGTGTACATTGTTTGCCAACTTTTGCCCAACTAGTTTTCCCCTCTATTGTATTTTGTATAATAAACCATACATGAATAACTGAGTGTTATTATTCATAAAATTCAAAGATGAATCAACACAGTTTGCCACACCAGATGAATTGAGAGTTTATATTGTGCATTTCAACCCATATTGAATTTTATCAGGTGCTAATTATTGTTTTACGAGAACAACGGCTTAGTGCATCTGTTGTTTAATTCCCACTTCCCTATTCTCAAATGTGAACATCAAAGAAAATAAAACACTCAATCTTAAACAGCCCCTGACAGCAGACCAAGACTCAAGTGCTCAATAGACAAGGCCCTTGCCACCAGTTCTCATATTTCCACAACAATGAACAAACACAAAAACAGCACTAAGCGGCCTTTCCTCCTCCTCAGCTCCCCTTGGCCAGTTGTCTGCCTTGTACTAGAGAGAGCCCTTGAACGCAGCCCTGCTGGGAACACAGCACAGGAGAAAGGATTAGCCTTACTAACATGCTAGCATTTGCAAAAGGGAAGAAAAAAAAACCCAGTACTGTATTTGGTATATGAATAACCAAAATGTATGAGCTGACAAGAGACCAGGACAGGCCTGTGGCTCCCCGGGAGAAAATGTAGCTGTGATGAGTGACAGGGCTTTCAGGAAATATGTTCACAATCACAGACAGTGAAGGCCATGACCTAGATCGTTTAAGAGCTTGTCTTGTCAAATTATCAAAAGCTTCTTCCTCTCTGAATAAAGAGTGACATAAGTGAGTGTCAGAAAGCTGCAGGCTGACAAGCCAAGCATACAATAACAGAATGCACGTCACATACATGCTGAACACCGCCACTGCTAGCGGCAAATCTTAATGAGAGCGCGGCCAGCCCAGGAGACTTGGGTCCCTGCTGGCACAGCTACTCATCTCACAAAAATCCTTCAGCTCCAAGTCAGTTAGGCTCTGACACGACAACTACAATTACGAAACACAACTTTTTAACAGAATCCTCTGGTGCTTTGTCAAAGCCTCTGTTGTTAGGAGCTGGCCCCCTCAAGTCACTGCGGCAAAACAAAAGATTTAATAAAACAAGCAATATTCATTGATGGTGAATAACATAAATAAAGGAGAATAGAGAGAAAATTTTCGTTTGAAATTTGTTGAATGGAAAGAGACAGGAAAAGCATGCCAGTCCCTGGACTCAGCCACCATCTTGACTTTTCCATACACACATTAACGTAATTTTAGGTGCCTTCATTAAAAAGAATGTCCCTACTCTGAAGCCTCGTCAGCAGGCTCCTCATAGAATTATAGCCATCAAGTCATTTGATTGTCCAGATACTTTGGTAGTCACTGTGTATATACATTACTCAGATACACAAAAATACTTATGTATCTTATTATACATATACTGTACTCTGAATATACGTGAAATAAAATTTCTCCTTCAAGGAGTATTTTGAAGAGAGCATCTTGGGCATAGCCTTCAATCGAAATTCCATAAAGACCACTCTGGTCTGAAATTACAGAAATACACAATTAAAATTCAAGATAAGTCACTGTTTTAATAGTGTTTGTTTTATTTTACTGTGTAAGAATTTGTCATTCACAATAAAAAGGAGCTGTAAACATAGAACAGATATATGTGGCAGTGTGTACAGAATCTACATAATTTTTTTTTTCACCTATCAGTATGGAAAGCCACGCATTGGTCTCTATCTCTAAACTGACAAAATGAACCAGAATTCATAAAAACATCTTTCCATCCAAGGTCAAATTTTAATCAATCCCTATACTCTTAATCCTCTGTAATCAGGGAAACTGACAAGCCTAATTTTTTGCTCAAAGATATTTCTCTTCGATATTCTCCTTAAGTGCAGTTATGAGGGCATAAAGTTTGTCTGTAATAGATTATATTCCAGTTTTATTTGAAAATGTAACAGCTCTTATTTTATAGGAAATTATATCAAAATAACCAGCCAAAAAAAATAAATAAATAAAACAAATCATACAGAACTCAAGCAACCGTATTTCCATTTAAAAACTTTTTTCACATCGGAGAATCACAAATCTTTCTGGAGACATCTTGACTAATTCTATACTACTGACATAAGTTAATTTTACAAATAGTTGATGATGTCTGTAGCATACCTGCTAGTTATTAGCTAAGGGTGTACAATACAAGAACTAGTAAAATGAAACATGACAACGTAGCAGCTAAAATCAGTGACTCTAGAGCCAAAACGGCTGGATTCAAATCCTGACTCTACTACTTACTATCTTGGGCAAGTTATACATTTGTATGTCTGTTTTCTAATAACATGGGGATAAGAGTACCTCTTCAAGGGCTGTTGTGACA